AGACAGGACTGTGTCAGAAGCTGGGAATCTAGAGGGTAGAACCCAGCACTTTTATTCTCACTGTCACCCCTGGACCACTGCAGGGGCCTCTTCGCTGGTCTCTGCCTTTGGGCCTTTTTCTCCTCCAGCTAAACTATTCACTGCAATGACACATCGCTGAATGACTCCCTTTTGTCCAGAGAACTGTAGAAGAATAGGCTTTTTAAAATTTCCTTTGTTAGGATTGCTTTGTTTTACTTGTAAACTTAACTTTTTGAGAAGACTTTACAATCCTTATCTAACTTAATAAGAGAGAGCACGATTCTTATTTTCTGGTTGGGTTTAATTATGACAACATCGGTGAAGGCAGCATTGGAAAGTTAAGTTTCATGAAATTGGTGAGGTCATTCATCTCCCAGTGACAAAGAGGTTGCAAATTTAAATGAATTCACTTAGTTTTTCTACAACAAGCATTCTAACATATATAATTTCCTCTAACAAACAAAACATTTTAGTGTTACAAGTTAACGTCCTTTAGAGGATAACTTTTAAAACAAACTCCAGAATGAATATTATAGGAAATTTTTAATAGATAGATCAGGTATTGTGTTTGGTTTGAAATTTAGTACAGCTTTCATGGAGCTTACACTTTGGTTGGATGAATGGACACTAATTTATTATACTAATTAGAATCGAATTACAAACTAAGATTGGTGCTCTGAAAGAAGGGACAGGGTTCTATCAGAGTCTGTAAAGTCTTCCATGAACCTTCCAACCAGAGATCATTTCTCCCTCCTGAAGCCCTCAAGGCGTTTTATGACTCTACCAGTTGGAATTCTTTGGTTGTGAGCAACAGAAACCTACACTGGCACATTTAAGGAAAAACGTTTTTTTTTGGAAGGTAGGGAGTAGGTCATAGACTCAGAGGAAAATCTGGGGCACCAGACAGAGAGGAGAGACCCAGCATAGCCCCAGAAGAGGAAGCAGCAGGCCCCCCAGGGCGGCTTCCTCAGGGCACTTCTGTGTAGACAGCCAAGATCCGAGAAGGACTACACTCTTCTTCTAGTGGTTAAGGGCATGGGCTCTGCAGTCAGACTGGATCCACCACTACTAGCTGTGTACGCTTGGCCAAGTCCCTCTGTTTCCTCATCAATGAAATGGAGAGATAACAGTGTCAGCTTTCTGGGAAGATACTGACGTAATTCATGGAAGACACTTAAAAGAGTGCCTAACACATTGTAAACACTCAGTATGTTAGCCATGTCAGCAATTACTGTTATTAAAGTTTCCTCGAAATTCAGATTTCAAGGGTTTTCCTAATTAGGGTCAGGTGTCCAGCCTTTGTCCAAAGCAGGACAGCGAGCTTTATTATAGAGTATCCCCAGGATTATATCCCATGGCAGAGTGGCTCCCCAGAGTGGAACCACGGTGGTGTGTCAGAAGAAGGTGTTGATGCTAGGCTGACAGGACAGGAGAGGTCGTCTCCTTCTTGACACCTTTATCTTATTCGTCTTCTGCCATTGCCCTTTGTTTTTGTTGCTAATCACTTCTGTCAGATTTTAAGCACCTAATGGGCGAGAACCATGTCTTATCTCTGTTCTTTCAGGAATACAGTGTCTCCCACATCAAAGATGTTCGGTACCTATTTGTTGTATTGAATTAAAATGAAAACCTGGAAGACATGATTCGCATCTCAGCTCAAAAAACATCTGGGTGGGGATGGCTCGAAAAAATTTTTGGATTTCTTTTTGGTATCTCAGCGTTTGCCATTTTCAAGAAAAATATCTAAACAAAGCTGTGTAGGATTTCAGAACTTTTCAGAAGTATCCTGAGACAGCAATGTCAAGATTTTATTTAAAATGAAAGCAAAATTTATTTAAAATGAAAGCCATTGTGCACAAAGATGCAAGTGGAAGGTTGTTCACTTTTGTACTATTCATGCCAGTGAAATATGTCCATCAGTAGAGGTATGACTAAATAAACAAATACTGCTATAATAGAAAATACTGTAAACCAGTAAATGCAATGAAGTTGATCCCTATATGTAACAGCATAGATAGTGCTCTAAGAAGTATTGGTAAGTGAAAAAAAATGAAGGTACGGAACAATACATACAATATAGTTCCTTTTATAAAAAAAGAAACAAAAATAAAATGTTGTTTTATACTTATCATACATATGTAAAATATGTAAAAAAGATTTTGAAGGTTTATCATCACAGTATAATATGCTTTGCTTAAATGAAAGGCTGAATCAGAATGATACTACATATTTTATACTGGTACATTTTTATGTTTATAGGCATATCTACACTTTTATATGTGTATTTATATGTATAGAATAAAATAACGAGTTGCCTCTGTGTAGTAGGGGTTGGGGGAGGAATCAGAATTGTGAATGATGTTCTATGGAACTCTTAATCTAATCTTTAATATTTAAATTTTTACATGGAGAATATATTCATGAATTATTTATTTAACGTAAAGGCATCTAAAAATAATAAAGAAACTAAAAAATGAGGAAGCTCAAATGCCTTTGAACTCCCTTCATTCCAGAATGCCGGGACATTCTGCTTCCTGTCATCACCAAGGAACTGAAGGAGCTGCTGGAGCAGAAGGATGAAATGCAACACCAGGTTCAGGAGAAGAAATACTGCGTTGAATTACTCAACAGCATTTTGGAGGTGCTCAGCTGTCAGGATGCGGTGAGTCCTCATGATGATGTAGCTGTCCTAGACGCAGACTAGGGCTGAGCTGATTAAGCTCTGAAATATTGATGCTGATGAATAGTAGTCGAAGTCTAAAGATAAAAGTCAATGGCTTCCTCTGGGGGCCTGTCTTTCCAGTGACTAACCCCCATGACTGTGAAAGATGATTTGGGGACTGGAGTTAAGCATGTAGCATTTTGTCGGCTTATTTCTTGTTGGACAGTCCTTCTCATGGTGTGGGTAAGCCATATTGCAGACTTCTTAGATGACTCGTTCAGTACTAGAGCCTGGTTTGCTGGAGCAGGAGGAGGAGTTTCCTATGCCTACATGGCCAAGGAAAAAACCCTCTCATTTGCTTTCTTAGCTGATTTATTTCGGTTTTGTTTCTCCGGTTATCTCCTGCGATGGTGAAAATGGTTAAGACTAATTCTGGGTGAGCAGATTGCTCAGGCCTAGACTCTAGAGATAGGGTGGGGCTGCAATGGTGGCAGGCAGCAGCTGTGGCAGTGACGCACATGTTTATTTGGTAAACACCATTCAGAGATTATGCAGAAGTGGGGCCACGAGGAAAGTTTCAGGGTAGTAGGGCTTCCAATGGGCAGGATCTGCAGGAGACAGTCAGGGAGGCGGAGCGGTGATAACGGTAAAGACTGAGAGGTGACGGTTATATGTGGACCAAAATTCTTAAGACTTGGGAGAGGGCAGTAAGTGTTCTTGATTTGACTCATGTTCCTTTGGCAATCTCACCTTATCCTTGAGTAATGTTCACGAGCTCTCTGCCCCTAGGTGGGCTGGCGTCAGAGAACTGCGTAGAACCAAACAACCAATAAGTCTTTTCTAAGTGTTAGTGTGAGCATTCCTCCTCTCTTATCCCAGAAATCCTCAGAGAAAGGCTTTTTGGATTAATTGTATCTTTGATTGACTATATTAGAAAATTCTGCAGCACAATATTCCTTGACTGCTCATATCCCATAGTGAATCATTTTTATCAGTTTTCGTGTGTGTCTTTCTTCTGTTTCATTCTTTCTATTCTTATTGTCCTAATTAAGCTGCTTCTTCTCTCATTACTAGGTATATGCCGTAGCTTGCTTCATTCATTCATTCATTCATTCATTCATACATATGATGCACCAAGTGTGTGCCAGACATTGGGCATATAAAGGCATGATCTCTTAAGAAAATCTTTCAGACATATAAATAAGCAATTGCAATGTAATGTAATGACTAACATCTAGATGCATACTAGGTGAACTGGAGGTACAAAGACCGTGTGTGTGTGTGTGTGTGTGTGTGTGTGTGTGTGTGTGTAAGCATCTTTGTCAAGGAAGCCTTCGTAAAAGAAGTGAAGCTTCAGCTAGATGTTTAAGGGTGAGTAATTAACGATCACAGCTGCTACTTTATTTGCTGTTTACTAGGCACTGTGCTAAATACAATCCATGCCTTCTTTCTGCTCAGGTGCTAAGGATTATTATTCCCATTTTATAGAATAAAAACCTGAAATTCACAAACTTAACATTCTAGGCCAAATATCAAATAAATTGCATGGTCAAAATTCAAACCCAGGTTGGTCAGACTGCAAAGTCTGCATAATCATAGGCATTGGGATACAGAAGCCTGATCTTTTTCTTCTCTCTTTTTTTTCTAGCCTTATCTTTTTTCTTGGGGAGAAGGAGTATAATGCCCAAAAGCTTAGATACTGAAGATCTACTTTGTGATGATGTTAGGATCATAGCGGTGTTTTCATAAGCACATTCACGAGCCAGTTATTGAACTGGTTCTAGTCCTTGCTATTTGATCTTTAAAAAAATTTGAGGGAGAGTCTGGTCTTTTTCTCACTGACAGTCTAGGGATATCATTTCTCCAGAAACATCCTAAAGAATGTTGCCTCTTCCTGTTGAAAAGAATTTACAATGTTCCTTACATTTTAGTAATGCTCAGATCCTTTTCATAGGAGAAAAATCCTGGATCTTTGGAATTATGCCAGTGGACCCTAGTTTGAGGAACATGCTTGTAATGGGCTAATTGCCAATTTCCTGATTTGAGTGGAAGAATGGCCCCAGTTCACAGTTAATTTGTTAAGCAACAACGCCCCCATCCCATGGGAGTGGCCCCCTAGAATTCTGTCCTGACAGATTGCCATCGTTTGCACATTGGGTGACAACGACCACTGGTGAGAGGGGGCTTCTACCTCACACTCTCTGGGTACTTGTGTATCTTGGGCTTTGAAGCTGAGAAGTGAGTGAGAGGCTCTGAGTTCCCTTTGAGGAATCGTGGCATCTGGACTTGAGGTAGGTGGGATGGTATGGTGTCACTCTTTACTGCCTCTGAGTCCTCCACTTTTATAATGACTTTTGACTGTGGGGACTAGCCTACCCCTTTCCCAGGGCGAGCAACTGTTTTTGCTGGATGAGTTATTAAATACTATTATTAACATTGGATTTGACACAAGATTCTGATGCTTTTGGAGCTTCACATCTAACCTCTCCAGCTCATGAAGATAGAAATCTCTCCTCTTCTCGAAAGCTTGTTCTTTGACGAAGGCAATTCATTCAGCAGCTACTATTACTTTGAGCTAAAAATCAAAAGTTCCAAGTATCTAATCTAAATCTCTCTTGCTCTAATATATAGTAGCTCTCAACTCTGGTTGCACATCTATATCATCCAAGGAGCTTTTTAAAGGCAGCCATACCTAGCTAGGCTCCAGTCCTAGGTATTCTGATTTTATTGGTCTGGGATTGGTGGGGGCATCACGATGACAAGTTTACCAGGTGATGATAACAGGCAACTGGGGTGGAGGAATACAGCTCTAGGGGCAGAAGGTCTTAAACTTGAGCGTGTATCCAAGTGACTTCGAAGGAGCAGTTCAAACAGGTTTCTGATCATTAAGTTTGAAGGATGGGGCCTGATCATGTGTTTTTCTAAGAAGTTCCAGGTAATGTGGATGCTGCTGGGCCACTTAAAGAACCACTACTCTAATGTGACCTAATTTTTTTCATCTTCAGTATTCCCTAGAAATAAAAATAGAAGACAGTTGGGCTCATCTTCAGTCCTTTACCTTCTTAATTGAAGAACCCTTTCCAGTCTATAAATCCTAGCATCTTCCAATAAACCACAAAATGGCAAAGTCTTCAAACCCATTCATTTGTACACATAAAGCTATTTTCATATGGTTGTGGGGGACATGGTCTATGCAAAGATCTGACTTTGAAAATCCAGACCATGGGATGTTTGGTTTCTATAGGCACCAACTTCACAAAATTGGAAATTTGAAAGAAAAATTAAAAAGGCTCCCAGAGCGAATGTCGGGATTTTCCTCCTAGTTGTTAGAATACTCTCTGCTGATAAAGGCATAGCCATCCATTTTTTTACTGGCCCTTTGTTGGCACCATGGAACAACCTGTCTCTCCACTCCAAGCATAGATTATATCTACCTGCCAGAACCGCCACCTAGAGCCAGAACCACACCTGGAAATTTAGCAATTATAGTGCAGGATGCCAAGCTTCCTTTTGGGGGCCATTGTGTGTTCTGGAGATGGGAAAAATGCTTGTCTTCAATAGATTGTCATTGTTTGGGTAATTACAGCTCAGCATAGCAGGCCTGGCATGAGAAAGCTGTTTTCCTGTTATTACCCTATTCATTGTAACCCTGGGTGGCATATGACTCAGGGTGAGATGTCCACCTTTGCCTGGGTGTTGATTTTTTTTAATGATAGTGTTAAACTTCCTCACCCAGCTTGCTTGAGTCGCACTTAGCATATGAAAGGGACAGGCTCAGGTAAAGGATGAAAGGACCGACTTCTGCCTCTGTTAACTCCTTTCCTCCCCCTCACCGACCAAGTTTAGTTGTCAACTTTGGTTACTTTGAAGGGTGGTTTCATACTGGCTTAGTTCTGTGCCTTGCTGGCCACTGAGTAACTCATAAAATTTAATTTTGCACCAGACTCGGAGGGAGTTGGTTTTCCTCACTTCAAGAAAGCTTTTCATTTTTATGTTTCATTCCTCTAATGGAAAGGAGAGTCATCATTTTGTACCCTGCTTAGCAATCACAAAGTGGGCAAAGATGACGCTCATTCTGAAGAGATGGTGTTGGTTGTATCTGCATTACGGAGGCAGAGCATGAACAGAATCAGCTTTTTAAAAGTAAAGTTTTTGAGTCTGTTAATTAAACCCGAGGGTTTTACCAGGGCACTGTATTAGTCACGAAGGGTTTGGGGTTCTGATATGTGGACTCGTCCGCTTAGACACTGGTAAGGAGGGCTTCACTCCTACATTTTCTTTTGCTTGGAATGTCCTTCCCAGTTCTTATTCTTTCTATGCAGGTAAGGTCCTAAACTCCTTTTCGGTTCAGCTCAGATAATTTCTCTTTCTGAAATCCTGTCCATTCCAGTCCTCTTCCCCTCACTCTTGCTTCTGCCCTCCAGGCAGGTTTACGGACATCCTTCTCTGTTTTCATTGCTATGTGTTCAGAGCGATATTCCAGCACTCATTGCTTTGTTATACTTTCCCCTGTGTGTCCCCTGCCAGGCTTTGAGCACAGAAGCTCAGAGAGGAAGCCTTACTCTCCCAGCTTCTCAGAGCTGACATTTTCATTCTGGCCTCTTGCCAATTCCGCCTTTATTCTCCATCCTCTTTCTCCATGGAGAGTCTTTCAGTCCCTCAGATGCGCCACACCCTCTCACTTCTGGGTTGCCATGCTCTATTGGCACTGCCAGAAAGCATCACCTTCACTGTTTGCCTAGCTAAATCCTACAGAAATGTCACCCACTCTCCCAAGGAAGTCTTCTCTAATCTTCTTCGTACCCCTGTCTCGTGGTTCTGGGAGCAGCTTATGCCTGCTCCAGCACCTGTGTTGTCATCCTCTGCGGACTTACCTGCCCTGACAAGAATGATCCACACCTGCCCTGCATCTTTGCCCTCCTCTTGCTCCCCCAGCCCTACCCCAGCCCACAATGCCTGGCATGCAAAGATGTCTATTGAAGGGATGAATAAATGAATGA